GATTCAATACAATCTTATTTACTTAATAAATCAATAATTATTGGGTTTTTAATCACTGAAATCATATGGTTTATTAATGAATCACGTTTTTAGAAAAAAATGATTATATAGATCGAAATAATATCCAAATCCCTATATTCTTACGAGCTCCGACACTCGAGGGCAATTTCTTAAAGAAGTTCTAACACATGCAAATCAAGATTGTTGATGAAGGATGAGGCATTATTACACTTGGTGATGGTTCTAATTTAAATGATTTTCAAAACCCCGTTTTTATAAATTGAAAGTATGAATAAAATATAATCAGTATAATTAAATTATAAGATATTGCGGAATATATATTAAAGTGACACAATGGCATTCATGGCAAGTTCACTCCTCATATGGAAAACATTACATGAAGATCGATGGAGAACCCGAAGGGGGGGAGAGAGAGAGAGGGAGAGAGAGAGAGAGAGAGAGAGAGAGAGAGAGCACCCAACGCATAAAACAAAAACCTAAACAAAATGATTATGAGGAAGAAGAAGAAGAAGAAAAAAGGAACACGACGGAAGATAGTTGACAAGTACATGCTTTGGAATACATACATGATACATATATATATATAATATTGCCTCAAGAAACAGAGACAGAGGCAATGGTCTCTCTCCCACAGAGAGACAATCTCATTTCTCCAACAAATTCAACGGTTCCTATTGGATAGCACGTTATTCATAATTCCTGCAATACCCACCCAACACTTTAAAATTGACATAAGGACACATGGATGGGTAGATGCACATTTAATTAAAGTTTTTTTTTTTTTATAATTTGCAAGTTAACGGAGCATTTGACCCAATTAAATCTTTCAAAAGAATGACAAATTCCGATGAATATCTCTTTCCAAATGGAGATTCAAATTTAAGTTAGAAAATATCTTTATTCCACACCCCATCCAATATAGTTAGTAATAATTTTTAAAATAACTAATTTCTTTTTTTTTTAAAAAAAAATCCAAACTTATTTAGATGATAGAGACAAGTTGGTATGGGATAAAAAAACAAAGAAATTGTTTATTCTGTTATTAATATAGGTATCGTAACTAAACAAAATTTCTAAATCTACCGGTGGACACATATGTGCAATGTTTTCTGCTCCATGTTCATTATTTTGTTAGCATACATTAGCATTATTAAATTGCATTGTACTAATGATACACACACAAAAAATGAAAAACAAAAGTATAATACTTTGATTTTAATATACCTATAAGCTTCTAATTAAACATATTAAATTATGAAACTATAACGCTTAAAAAAAGCCATCCACATGTACGATGTTTGTGCCTCCATATTCTAAATCTTTGAAGGATTCATAAGCCTAGGTAGAAGTAAAAAAAAAAAAAGACATGCTCCAAAAATCTCACGATGAATATTGATCCATTTATATCATTGTTTCCTTACCATTGTAATCGAATTTTTAATGTGATTGTCGAGATATACTGGATTTTGAAGAATATTACGAGATATATCGTATAATAGAGATCTTTCAAATCCGAAAAATATATATTTAGAAATATTTATTATTATGTCTATTTTACTTATTCAATGTAAGACTCTCTTCTGTTTATATGTTATTTTGATTATCAATAAAAATATTATTTTGCAAATTTCTACATGGTATCAGTGCTTCTGGTTCTTTTCTAATTTATTGTTATTTTCATAAAAATGATGGTTGATAATAAGAGTGAAGATGAAGATGATAATATATCGATTCAGTGGTAATATCATTTCGAGATTTTTTTTTTTAAGAATAAGAGAGTCATTTTGTTTGTTTTTTTTCTCATAATCTCACATGTTTCTAAAGATTATTCGCATAAAATTTGTTGTCACTAAACGCTTTCGCGTAGTTGCCTTCCAATCTCGGATGAATCAGAGTTATTTCCGAGACTCCTTTTTCGCACCGCGATTGTAGTCTTTTTTTGTTATCATCGAACGATTTTTTTGTGCGTATTGCCAAAGTTGCAGCGCAGTCGTTTGTTTGATTTTTTTTTTCAGTTATATCTTCTATTGACACAAATTCCAAGGTGATGTAGTTCAAGTGACGTGTGTATCTTTTCTACAAGTTCGACGTTTCGTGATCTTCACGCTCCAACTTGAAAGGAGATGTTGAGATATATCGGATCTTGAAGAATATTATGAGATATATCGTATAATAGAAATCTTATCAAATTCGAAAAATATATATTTAGAAATATTTATTATTATGTCTATTTTACTTAATTACACAATCTCCATCCACTAAGCATTAACGATTATATACATATATATATATATATATATATAGTTATACATATATCGAAGAAGGAGAAAATTACATGGTGAACTAATAATTTATTATTTTATCGTTCCCTTTTTTTGTCTTGTAATGAAACTGGTCTTGCTATTTAGCATGCTGTGCCACGTCTCTTGTCCCCTAGCCTTATAATAAAACCCGAAACGTATAATTTGTCAACTTGTAAAATAGATAAGTAATATCCAGTCAGCAGTTGAAGCTGTGTTATCCAATGTGACGACGTTCTTTAAACTTATCCAACGTTAGGGTTTAATTAAGGATCTTGTGGATTATCAAATAAATCCAGCGAGAAAATGAAATAAAAAGAAATAATTAATAAGGGTTTTATTAGAACCGCCACGGATGTTCATGTAAATTAGTATACTGCTTAATTAAGACTAGGGTCATTAGTGTATAATTAATAATTAATATTTTATACTATCTAAGTGAAAAACCCATTCCATAAAAAGTTACATATATATATATACACACACACATAATTCTAACCATAATTTGGACCCACTTCAATACACCTTTCACAAAAACTAGAGGGAAAAAAAACAGAACTTTGAAATCTTCTGTCTTCATTTCTTCAGCTGGATAATTTTTGGATGTTGCTTCTTCGCCCTCTCTCCAAGATGAGAAATCTTATCCCAAAAACAGTTAAAGAACAAAAATTACTCGAGAACCAAATGGGACCGAAAAGAGCAGATCGACACAGAGAACATGTCTTGTGTGTTGTGTCGGAATTGGGTGTATATGTATATGTATATGTATATGTATATGTATATGTATATGTATATGTATATGTATATGTATATGTATATGTATATGTGATGAAAGTTATCTAATTTCTCTGTGGGAAAATTTTCAGACAATGGAGAGTGGATTTTGCTCAGATGGGTTTATGCATGAATACTTACAAAACTTCGTTGGCTGCCTTGAAACACAGAGGCAGGCAGTCACCACTTCCCCAAACATTTTTTCGGGTTTTATTACGATATTGCCATTGTCATTGCCCTAATTGGTACTCCTTTGTTGATACTGGAAAAAAAAAAGCTTTTTTTTTTAATCACCTATTGAGAATATAATAATTCTAAAAAATCATGTCCACTTGACTATATATATATATATATATATATGTATATCAACTATAATTCTAAGCACGTCTTCCTAATGGTAATGTATGAAGAGCAAAAAGAAAATCTTTCTGTTAAAAGAAGTTTCAAAATTGTTATAATTAAAAAAAAAAAGAAGAAAATCTTCATAATTATTTTATGTTTTAAAATCGTTATCTAGTCATAAAATTTTGATTCTGTTATTGATTTACGTAGTTTATTTTAAAAATATTTTTAAATCCATTGAAATTCAAATCTGATTTATAATAATAACTTGAAAATCTTAAACCGTAAACCCTAATTTTCCCTAACGCGATGACATAACTTGATATAAATTACCTTCGATTATTCCATTTTGCATGTTCATAAATCATTTCGCCTTCCTAATAACCGGCCGACCCAAGCCTGTTCGATGGACCCAAGCGTTCATACCAAAATCAAGGTGACATCATACGAAACCTAAACCGAAATTTGATTAATATTATAAAATTTTAATTAATATCGTTATCTTATATTGGCCCAAAAACACAAAGAGTCAAATGATATAATAAGTAATATTGTTATAAAATATTATCTTCTTACAAAAAGTGCCTCAGAACTGTAAGTTCCACCATCTTTTACAACAAAACATAAGCTACTTCTGTTAGCATTTTTGTAACCAACCATAAATTTGCATATTATAAAACCGACCACTCTATACTATATGCTAGGTCGGTCACAAAAAAAAAAAATAATGAAAATAATTTGCTCTCTCTCTCTCTGTAAGATGTTGCTTTACATCCAATAATTTGTGGGCGAGTGGTCAACAACTGGGTGTAAAGTATTCAGAGATTGGCGGTTCGATTCCTGATTGGGGATGAATTTTCACATGGGTTGCCCCGATCCTCTGGAAGATGTAGTTGGGCTAAAGGCCCGGTAAACTTCCGGATTATCAAAAAAAAAAATTACTTTACACCATTGAGTAAAAGTGAAACCAATGATTTTTGGATAACATATTTATATATATAGGAATCGGAGTGATTATCTTAATATAAAACGTTAATAGATTTAGAGAAAAATCAAAATGGAATTTGGAGTAATTTTCTTTTTGTATAACCACGTTATTTAACTATAACCGAAGAAGACATAAAAATAAGAAATAATGAACAAACCGTGCACTAATCTTAACCAAGCTTAATCAAACGGACAAATAATGAAACTAATTTAAATATATATCGTTTTCATAAATATTCAGTTGTAGACGATTAAAATTTTTTTTTCTATAGTTGAAGTAATATAACAACGTGACGATAACAAAAAAAAAATACATTTTCTTAAAACTATTTGAAAAAGAATTTAAACAAAAAAATGAAAGAAAAAGTTGTGAAACGTTTTCACACATTGCTTGACTCTTGTTTCCTTTTCTATAAAAATAATTTTATAAAATTATTTATTTAATTAACGGACAAAACAATTTGGAGGGCTTAAGCATCAAACGTGGTAATGCCACGTGGCGAATCATGATCCTCTTGGCAAGTATAAATAGCGGTCGAGTCCTCTCCTCCCAAAAGCCCAAACAAGACACCCAATTCCATATTCGTTTTCTCTTCCCCCTTTTTTTTCCTCTAATTAAAAACAAAAACAAAATCTTTTTTTTCCCCCTCGAAGCTCTGTCTCTTGTCTCTGTCTCTTGTCTTTATCCCACAAATATCATTTTTTTTGTAATATCGAAATTACCATGTGTAATTCAAGATCATCTTCACCATCCGACCCCTTCTTCACCTCTAATAAAACCCAATTCTCAAAGCTAGAAACTTGTGAACAGAACCATCCTCATGATTATTCCGACTCCTCTCATAATGATTCTTTGGATCTCCATCGATGGCCGACTTTTCTTGAGGTAAAAAGGGGTTTATACTTGTTAGGTTAAGGAGATAAAGAATCGCAAAGACGTGGATATATGCTCTGTTTTTCAATGGCTCTTAATGCTGTTTGTTCTGTTTATTTCATTCGCAGGGCATGGAAGAAGTGAAAGAGATTGGAAAAATCTCTGGACCGACTGCGGTTACCGGACTTTTAATGTATTCAAGATCAATGATTTCGATGCTGTTCTTGGGTTATCTCGGCGAGCTTGAACTAGCCGGCGGTTCACTGGCCATCGGCTTTGCAAACATCACCGGTTATTCTGTAATCTCCGGCTTAGCCATGGGAATGGAACCGATCTGTGGCCAAGCGTATGGAGCGAACCAAATGAAGCTTCTTGGACTCACCCTTCAAAGAACCATCCTTCTTCTGCTCTCCTCTTCGGTCCCGATCTCCTTCTTTTGGCTTAACGTGAGGCGAATCCTCTCGTGGTGTGGCCAAGACGAAGATATCTCTTCGGTTTCCCAAACTTTCCTTCTCTTCGCCATTCCCGACCTTTTCTTCCTCTCTTTGCTTCACCCACTCCGCATTTACTTGCGAACACAGAGCATTACATTGCCAGTGACTTACTCCACGGCTGTCTCCGTTCTTCTTCACATTCCATTGAACTTCCTTCTAGTGACCAAACTCGAGATGGGCATTGTCGGAGTGGCCATAGCGATGGTCTTGACTAATCTCAACCTCGTTATCCTTTTATCTTCCTTCGTCTATTTCACCGGTGTCCATAGAGATACTTGGGTTCCTCTAAGTGCTGATTGTCTCAAGGGATGGTCCTCTCTTCTGTCCCTCGCCATACCCACTTGCGTATCGGTGTGTTTAGAGTGGTGGTGGTATGAGTTCATGATAATGTTGTGTGGACTTTTGGCAAACCCTAAAACCACCGTTTCCTCCATGGGAATACTGATCCAAACCACGGCTCTGATCTATGTCTTCCCTTCATCTCTAAGCCTAGGAGTCTCGACAAGAATCGGGAACGAACTAGGAGCAAAACGCCCGAGAAAAGCTCGCATCTCCATGATCATCTCCCTCTTCTGTGCTTTAGGGTTAGGACTAGTGGCAATGGTATTCACCATACTGGTTAGACACCAATGGGGGAGATTATTCACTAAAGACGCAGAGATTCTTGAATTGACATCGATTGCACTGCCCATTGCTGGCCTTTGTGAGCTCGGAAACTGCCCTCAGACCACTGGCTGCAGTGTCTTGAGAGGATCTGCAAGACCAGCACTTGGTGCCAATATAAACCTGGGATCGTTCTACTTGGTGGGAATGCCTGTGGCTATAATATTAGGGTTTGTGCTCAAATTAGGGTTTCCGGGCCTTTGGCTAGGTTTACTTGCAGCTCAAGCTACCTGTGCGGCTCTCATGTTGTGTGCCCTTTGGAAAACAGATTGGGAGGTTCAAGCTCAGAGAGCTGAAGAACTAACCTCTAATACTCAGTCTGAATCGGATCCAGTGAAGGTAGGGTTGGTTTAGTAGCATATTGAGGTACGCCTCTAAGCATCACAATTATTAGGGTTTAGGTTTAGAATTCCATCTCATCGCATGCATGCATGCATGCATACATACAATTCTTTGGAGCCGTATCTCCTAATCCATCATTAACGAAACAAAACCAGTGACGTGGATGTGAACGAGACCCCATCAATCATCAACAACATTGGCGTGTGTTTGTGTGTGTGTATATATATATATATATATATATGTTTGTAAAAGGCTTATGTAATCTTCGTGTATGAGAGACTTTTTGTTATTATTGTTTTTACATTTTGCTTGTCTTTATTGTTCGGGCTTGTATCAATGATATGTACGTATATTTATTTCGTTATGTATCTAGACGATGCTCATATTGTACCGAAAATAAAATTAGGGTTTTTTTTTTATCCTAGTGTTGTATATTCAACTTTGTAGAAATGAAAATCATTAATATTTTTTTTGTTAACTAAAAATCATTAATATTGATAGGATAATTATTTGGGTTTGATGTTTTTTTTTTCTTTCTTTCTACTCGTTACTTCTTTATATATTTTATAGAAAGCCAAAACGTGAATCTTTTTATTTTTTAGCTTTTGGATCTGTTCCATTCCATTAAAGGAAATATATTCCCTACCAAAACTATGCAAATTTAATTTTTCTTTTCCAAAACAGGAAACAGATTCCCCGAAATTTTCCTTCGATTTATGTATTTATATATAATATTTTCGAATCAAATTAATGTAGTATTTTTCCGTCATTTATTCAGAGAGAAGAATCTTTTCTTTTCCTTTAAAAGAAAAATAATGTCCTTTAACACACAAAACATTTTGTTTTTGTTTTTGTTTTTGTTTTCGGGGACCAGAAAATAAATGCCAACTTTTATAGGACTGTTGCAAAAAGAAAACGATAATAAATAAGACAAGAAAATAAACCAAAGTCGAGAATATAATATTGCTATTTACGGTCCACCATACGTTTCAAGTTATCAACCACTCCAACATTTTTATGGGAGAGAAATATAGTATAGCCTTAGTTTGAGGAAATTATAATGATAAACCTTTCAATATATATATATATATATATATATATATATAATATTGTAGAATTACCATAAAATTTATATATTTCACCTCTCATAATAATCAATTTCTCTCATCTATATATATATAATCTACAAAGTTTTTGGAACATTTATAATAATTCTGCATTTGAATATGTTTACCATTGGTCAATCAGTTATACAATGAATATTTTAATTATTTAAATTAAATTATATGAATTAGTAAAATTTGTCTACTTTTATGTATACCCAATAAAAACAAACTAATATTATTTTTTAATTTTTTTATTATAGGACCCTCTAATAATAAAATTTTCTACACCAATCACTATATATAATAACAAAACATTGCAGTATAGCCTGTATTCGATGTCAGTTTAAAGTTTTGGAATTGTAAATATACATATATAGAGACACATACATTTGCTTGCATACATTATACAACATATATATATAGATATATAAAGAGACAAAGGATGAAACAAGATAGGGGTTGAAAAGGAGAGATGCTGAAGCCGTGGTGGTACAGTTGCAGCTGAGTCTGGCACAGAAGTCATTGCCGTATGTGTAGCTTGCAGGGTCCCCCACCCGGAGACATACACTTCTCTCTTCCAACATTTCAAATTCATACATCTATATATATATATATATATATATCCATGTATCCTAATAATAAATTAATTAATCTTTTCCATTTGATTATATATATATATATAACAGAAAGTTACGCCGTCAAAATGATCGTGGCCAATGCTTGTGGACTTCTAGTTTCCTTTTGTTTCCCTTTTTTATTATTATATTCTAAATATATTATTGCGGATAAGTCTAAAAGGCAAGAAAATAAATCAAGCTAATAAAATGTAATTAATTTGGGAATGCCCAAGTCAATTGGAAAGTGATTACCCCTCCTTACATGAGTTGTTGAGTTCGATTTCTTCTACTATCAAATTTCCCCTGAACTGGTTAGTTTCGACCAGTTTACCTGTTCTACGTGATTTATTGACTGTTGCATAGGACCGTAGGAGTTTACTGTCCGCGATGTTGTATCATTCGTCCGGTCTTTCGGGGAGGGTTGTGAGGCGTTTCGGTGTCCGACCCAATGGGTTGTAGGGCAGTTGTAAAAAAAAGTAATTATTTTTTTAAAAAATTAAAGCATGAAAATGAGAGCGCTTCTTTTCCACTTCCCTAAAGATCTAAGGCATTGTGGAACAATGGCAAGGTTTTATTGGATGTTCGGCTTGCCATTTTACAGGATCGCTTCAACATAAACATGCAAACAATGGCAGATTATAATATATATATATATATATATATATATATAATATTCTTAGTCGGTCCACAATTTTATTCACAAAATCTTTATTTGGTTGCGAAAATGATAGTTATGATAGGCATAAACATCTAATAAATATTATAGAAAACAAACATTTATATTAATGAGCATTAATATTGAAAAATATAAAAACACATAGTAATAGTGTTTTTTCTCTCAATTCTTCTTATTTTTTTTAAAAAAATGTCGATTTTTTTTTTATTGTTTCTGCAAAAACTTGTATTTCTTTTGTTGCGTTTTGATCATTTATTCACATTATAGTGTATGAACAAACACGTTCAGTTTGACTTATTTTTGGCTTTTTGAGTGGTAATATATATATATATATGCAACGACATATTTATTTAACATTCATAATTGAACTATAATTCTTCTACAGAAGAACAAAGAAACACGATTTCGAAAGCTTCACCAACTTTAATTTTGCCAAGTTGTGTTGGGAGTGATGTGTTTGATGGTCAAAGACTCCAATGTTTTTTTTTTAATTATTGCAAAAAAAAAAAGGTCGGGAAAAAAGATTATAACTTTTCATGGATTTATCCAAAATATCGATTTAGTTAACTCTTATCCATGGAGCCATCACATAATAAAATATTATGGCTTTGTAAAATTCAAACACAAGTGTAAGTATATATTTTACGGATCTCGAATAATGGGAGGTAATATATGTGAAATTTTATTTTCAAAAAATATATATTGGAGAATTTTCAAATTTTAGAATCGTTGTATTTTTTTCCGAAAATAATTTCGTTCTCATCAATTTTTCTAACAAAATAATTTTAAAACCAATGATATATATATATATATATATATATAAGTTCAAAATCAAAATCTAAACAGTATGATATATTAGGAATAAATACGATTTCAATATATTTCCGTTGGATTATCAAATTGAACTACCTTACGCAAGCAAAACTCGTTATCATTATTGATAGGGTATTCAAAGGAAGAATTTAATTAAATATCAATGTAGATGAATGCGACAACCATCTAAATAGTTTTCTTCCTTTTTTATTCCATTTCATGCGCATCTGACAAAATGTTGACTTAGTCGCAATTCATCAGAGGTCGAAATATATGCATATATATATATATATATGATCTTATTGGCATGCCGAACATGAAGACCATAATGCATGGGCCCTCCTACATTACATCTTATGACCAATTTCGACATACATACATATATATGTGTATATATATATTCTCACACTACGTATACTGCTCAAATAACGTTATTTATAGGCTACAAACTGCAATTTTCAAGAAAGAAAAAAAAAGGAAGAGAAGAGAATGTTGTCAATTTCATGTATATAGTATTCTGAGTGAATTTCTTACCATTGATTAAAATAGGTATATATTGATATTCAACAGAGGATAATGTATATACATCTTACCATTGATGAGTTTGATGACTTGGGGAAATGTTATAACAAGCATATGGAGTTTGGTCTACACCAAACCCTAGTCCAAGTCCAACAAGAGACTGACTGGTCAAAGCTATACAAACATATACGTGTGTGTGTGTGTATATATATATATGTGTATTGGTGGTCCAATATTAGCACTTTGGTAATCGAGGGACGACGCGGGTCCTTGTTGCCAACATTTCATCATGCTTTGTCGATCAAATGAAATTGACAATTTCTAGAGCTTGGTATCATTCTTACATTTTTCGTATAAGACTATTCAAAACTATAATAAGGCCATAGAAATAGTTGATATTAATCACTCGTGCAAATATGGATTACATGACTTTTGACCAAAGCCATCATTAGAAGAATGTTTGCATTTCACATTCAACTAATCCGTAATCAAAAGTATCGATCGAGCTCTCGTTTGATAGCTATTTGAATCACGCAAAGACTGATCTAATGCACCGAAAAACAAATGATTTTGTAATCAAATTAAATATATAATTATAGCACCGTCAATCAACATGGGAACATACATGTTGGAAACGATAGCAAAACGTCACATGCATTGATATTATGCATACGTATGCAAAAATCCATGTATCTTTCTTCATTGATTAGGAAACCAATATATATATATATATATATATAGATACTGATC